CCAGTGTAGTTTAGGTTGCAACATGGGTGACTGGTGCTTCCTGGCTCCGGGGCAGCACCAGTGCCTGATCACTGACTTGGGGGGATGGTCCCTCCAGCTGCTGATCCTCGACCCTGGAACTGTCACCAGCAAAACCAGAAGTGCCACCAGCACTTCTTGGTGGGGAGGCAGGGGGGTGACTGGCTGGTGCTCCCCACTTTTCAGCCGGTAAGGGCCCCCCGTGCCCCTCCTACATGTTGCCTATAGTTTACAACATTGCAGCCATTTAATCTGTTAGCTCGCCCTCTAGCCATGGGAGATTCGGGCAGGCTTTGCCCCCCCAGAAAAGGATTGGACCCCTCACCGTTGCTACCTTCAGCAGGTGCCTGTGGCCACTGGGAAAGCGTGGGGAGGCAGCAGGTGGGCAGCTGCGTGTGCTGGAGCCCAGAGAAGGTGGGGATGGTGCATGGGGTGCTAGAAGCTCAGGTGGGCTCAGGGAAGAGTTGGATTGGCCACCTCTGAGCTGGGGTGGCACCCAGCTCATTAGCAGCCTGCCTGGGTGGCCCCAGGGGGGTGCAGCCACAGCAGAGGGAAAGACCAGGGCCCCCTGCAGCTCAGGGGCCACTCAGTCTGCTGGCAGCTTGCCTCCCAACTGCAGGAGAGGCAAAAAAAAGGATCGGGCCCCTCACTGCTTCTGTCTTCAGCAGGGACCTGCAGCCGCCAGGAAAATAACATGTATACAGTAACGGAAAAATCAAACCCACTGTTTTAATTAAAAACTCACCGCTTCAGTTTAGGGGGCATAGAACACAACTCTGAAGGACTAAACACCCATCACGTGTGCCAGGACACTGGGCGCACAGCTTATTGGAGTTAGTGGGAGTCTTTCTATTAACTTCAGCATATAATGCATCATGTTCTTGGACTGATATATTATTTGACAAAAACTTGATCGGGTATTTAGCTAAACATAATTATTGTTCACACTGCCCCCCCCCCCCAAAATCACTGTTCCTTTTTTTTCTTTTTTCTTTTTTAATTAATTTTGGCAGAAAGGTTTCAGATGTTGTGCCTGGTAATACACAGTAGCATCATTTGGCACTAGATACATGTGCAGTTTTTCAGCTGGTTTTCAGCTCTCTATATTTTATCTTGTTTTAATTTTCTGACTGACAGCTGGGAAATGACTTAATCAGCACATCTGGCTCAGTAGGCATGTCACACTGAAGATACTGACAGTATCTTGGCTCAGTCACAATGGAAACCAGTTTGAGTTCTCGCTCTGATTTGCTAGGTGGATGGCAGTAAGGGAAGGGATACAACAACTGACCTTCCTTCTTGTGCCTCTCTCCTTATGCCACCACAGCCAGAATGCAGTTTCTGTTTTGATCTCACTTATATTTACACCTGAATACAAGGAAGGATTTTCACTGGTGTATTAAAGGAGAATCCAGACCTGGATTTGCTGTGCTGAAGGATCCTTTTATGTTTACTTCCCCCTCTGTCCACTGGATTTTGCAAGTGTGTCTGGTCAATGGAGCTACAAAGCAATATCAGTGCTGATTGTGCCATTTGGCTTATTTCAGAAAGCATGTCCTCCCACTCTGACTCCAGGGATTCTGTTTGATCTAATTTATTCTGGAAAACTATGTAACAATGAGATACAAAATTGACTTCTGGCCGTATTTCCCCCTTTTCCCAGGTACTCCGTTTCTGCCTACTCCAGGCTGAAGAGGGTGGGGGTCAGACATCCTCCACCTTTGCCTTTCATTGGAAACTTGCTGTTTTTTCACCAGGTAAGAAAAGTTTTGATTGGTATCTCTCCAAGAATAATGAAAACAGGTGTGGGGGGAGGAGGAAGGGATCCTATATTTACCAATAGCAGCTCTCTGCACATCTTCCTGTGGAACGAACAAGTGACACTCACCATTTGTGATGAGACAACATAATAAGCAGCCACCTCTGAGGCACTGATTGAAGGACAAAATGAATCAGAAGGGGAAAAAAGGGTGTAAGCTCCTGCAGCTATTTACTTGAGCTTTTCCAAGAAAGTTCATGCCCTTAGTTGAACAAGTCTAGTTACATGAATAGAGCAGATTATGTTAACTAGCGCTGACTGGTTTGTTCTGAGTGGTTTTGGGGGGTTGGGTTTTCTTTCTTTCTTTTTTTTTTTTGCTGATTGAACATATTTATGTTCAAGCATGTAACATTGACTGCTCCAAGTAATTGAAGTTATATACCATTAAATAATACTTTCCCAGTGGCTGCATAACAAACTAACTCACTTGCCCCCAGGTGTCCTCAGTTACAGAGGGGTGGATGAGGTAGGGTAGTTAGCTTTTCTCATCAGAGCATGCCAGTTGTTTATAAGTCCTCCAGAGGAGATGCAGATCACAGCAGAGTAATCAGAGATGCTCCCTGGTCTTCCTCCTACTATAGCGAGTGAGGGTACAGCCTAGCCAATTGTAGCAGTCACTAACCAGAGTCTGATGTTACATATTATGTTAGATA